TTCTGTTTTCGTCTTTACTCTTCAGAAATTTACATATTTCATGCATTAACATTTTGTTTTTAGAGAATCATCATTCTATTCTGTAGAATTAGTTGTATTATTTTCTTCCTTCAGTCAAAAGAAAAAAGGAAGAAAAGAAAAAGAAATGAAAAAAACCCTAACAGTAGTGGTATCTTCAAAAAAGGGAAGTTCTAGAAGCCAGAAAGTCCCCTGACCCTTCCTTTTTTTTAACTTTGTGTTGGCTTGTCTTTTGGCAGTAAGTTCCATTGCTTATCCTTCTCCACATGCTCTCCTCAATATTTCCAAGAATACAAAGCCAGTAAATATCCCTTAGATTCTGCCAGCAACAGACAATTGTGAGAGGTAGAAGGGGCAGAGGAAAGCAGAGACTATGTTCTTCCTTTAGCAGCAAAGTTGAGATTAAGATATTACAGTGATATTGTCCAAACCAGATGTACAGTGCTCGATAGGAAATGTACTCATAAGCTTACTCATGTAACTGTAATCCCTCTGTACAGTATCTTTACAATAAAAAATATATTAATAAAAAAGAAATGTACTGATTACCTGATTTGTGTAATTATAACCCCTCTTTATAATAACAATAAAGAAAAAAATATTACAATGGTTTCTGGATATTCTTCCACAAATCTCCTACTTCTAAAGGAAGAAGTTTCCAGAAGTTCCCAATCTGGCAGCAATAATTCCCTAAAACTTAACTGTAAATCTGAGGCTTAATTATGGGCTTCCCTTCTTTTTGGTTCTCTAGCTTTTCCACTTGATTTCTAAGCATTTAATTACCCACTTTATACCTTCTGCTTCAAATGTCTATAATGATTTGTTTTTCTTACTGAGAACTGACTGATACGCCCCAGTTCCTGTGGTCAGGCATTCACCTCAATAAAAAGTCAGATTATCATCATCAAATCTCCTAACCATAAATTGCAAAATATTTTTAACCCAAATAAGTAGCCTATATATCTGATTTCTTTTTCTTTCTCCAGGTCTTAGAGAATTCTGTATCAAGAATATATTACAGCCTTGGGCCAATGGCTCACATCAGTAATTGTAGCTACTCAGGAAGCTGAGATTTAAGAATCATGGTTCAAAGCCAGCCCAGGCAGGAAAGTCCATGAAACTCTTTTCTTCAATAATCACCAAAAAGCCAGAAGTGGAGATGTGGCTCCAGTGGTAAAGCACCAGCCTTGAGTGAAAAAGCTAAGAAATAGTGCCCAGACTCTGAGTTCAAGACCCAGTAGTAGTTTTGTACACGTGCATGTGCACACATGCGCATGTGCCATGTGCACACATGCGCATGTGCGCGCTCGCGCACACACACACACACACATACACACATACACACACAACAGAGGCCAAGTCCAAAATACCTCAACAGTATCACCAATAATATTTACACAACATACCACAATATGTTCATATATGTCCATGTCCACCCCTAATAATTTCAGCTCCTTTTCACTTTATTCTCTCTGATTTATTTGGGTATTGATGCATAGTGTTGTCAGTTCCTTTGAGGAAGGGCCTCCTAACTCCTAAGAAGTCCTCAGAAAACATTTGTTAAATTAAATGTGAAATAAATGTGTGGTTTTCTATTTTCCTTGATGGGGTGAACAACAGCTCACACATTTCCATTTACTTCACTTTTGGCAGACTGGAGCAGATCATGGAGTCTGCCAAATTCTCTGCATGGGTTAGAAAGTCAGTTTTCCTTTAGAAATCCTTCTGCTCCTGTATTCATGATAGATTTATATTTCGTATGTGCCTAAAATAAATTTTAGATTATTTTAGATGGGATCCTTAGGTGATTCTTATATGCAAGAGTATTTGATAATCAGTGCAGCAAAATGAAAACAGGTCTCATTTTCTTTGAAATTCCTACACATGAAGCACAATATAATGAATTAAAAAACTTAGGACTCACTCTAGAAGACCCCACATCTTGAACATCTGAGAGGTGAGGCACAGAAACAGAATTTTGGAGTTGTAAAAAAATTCTTATTATTTAAGCCTCTCATTTAGGAGAGTAGCAATCATATTTAGAGTCTCATAGACATTTAGGGGGACAGAACAGAAACCGGGTGGTCATGTATATTTAAACGAGTAATGAACTTTACAGCTCTACATGTTCCAGGCATGCTGGGGACAGACATATCCATTAGCACAGACAATAGCAAAGTCTTAACAAAACAAGTAAAAAGTGCCTTGAAGACACCTTTGCTTTGTTTTCTTTTTTCTTCTTTTCATCAGCATAATTAATCGTATAAAGCAATTTTGTTATATTTCAATACATGCATATGATCTACTTGGATCAAATTTGCCCTCACTTTTGCTCTTATTCCCTTTTCCCCACTTTGGAGTACTATTTTCTAACACAAGGATTTAATTTGGGCTTGTGGCAGAAAACCTCTCCTCTGATGTCAGTAGCAAATATACTACAGATATGTTTTATGGAAATTTGAATTACATGAAGTCGAAATAGTCGCAAAGATTTATAACATTGCAGGTCTAAAAATACTGCTATCCGTTGTAGATTCCAAAACTGACTGGCCCAGGGAACTGCCGGTGGGGCTCCCTGGTCACACAGAGCCACTGTATTATATGGTACATAGTGGGATCTTCACTTTTAATTGATGAGCTGTAACTTCCACGTGTGAGTGCCTGACCTTTGTGTGATTGTTTGCACTCTAAGCCTTTGGCTCATCAGATATAAATGTTAAAAACACTCTGTCCTAACAACTGCGATCAGTAGTCTACCATCTGTTCATTTCAGAAACAGCACATTCTATAAGACACTGAAGGAAATCATGTAAAAACAAAATATAATAGTAAATTAAAAAAATCCACAGTCATAGCATCCCACCTAATAATTATTTCATCATGAAAACTGGTCTGAACTTATGAGTATTCAAAATTATTTCATGTGTTCAGGAGAGTATTTATCACACAAAACACAGCTTCCTTTACTTAAAGTTCTACCAGTCTTTAAGTGACTTTTATCTTAGGCTTGAAAAGTGACATGTAAAATTGAAAGGAGTCCTGGGGGTTTCCAACTGAACACCACATTTAGTGACCCACAAAAGAGGCATAATTTTACGGTAAGTTTCCTAGCAGTCAGATCTGTACATAGGGAGAGGTGTCATCATGAAGGGTGATACTGAAGTTATTTTTACTCCAGGTTCTCACTGGTACTGAGCTTGTCACTGAGTCACCTTCATGGATTCTGCACAGGGCTTACCTTCATTATGCCTCTTCAACCAATTTCAATGAGGGCCAAAAAAATGAATGCTATCATGCATATAATTTTCCTTGTTTTTAATTTCCTCCTTAACATACAGTTCCAAAAGTGGTATTGCTATGTTAAATATTATCTTTTTATTGCTCTTGATATACAATACTTCCAAAAAGTATAGCAGCTGGCTTTGTGGCTTTATTTTTGTTTTCTTTTGGCTTTGTTTGTTTATCTGTCTTTGGGAGGGTAAGGAGAGGGGCACAGAAATGGAATCACATCCACTAATCCATGTGATGCTCTTGCTACCAATTTGGTTGGGTCTTTGGTTCCAGGGGCATTTTAGCATGGGCTAAGCATGTGCTCAGAATTCCAGGAATTCAGGATACTGAAATACATACACTTTGGCTTTTAATATTTTTAAAAACAATCCTTAAAATTCTGGCTGTGAGGAAAATCAGAACTTGGTTGGAGGTTTACATTTATCTTCTGATTTAGTACTGCTTTTATTTGAAATTACGCAGCTATAAGCAGTGTAGTTCCATAATCATATCCATGCTCAGGGTTTCTAAAAACCACAAAGTGATCTAAGTCTACTACTCAACGGAAAAACTAAATGAGCAAGAAATTTCAATAATTTCCAAAAAATTACCCCTGTCCAAGAAGGCAGTCTTCAGGAAAGATTTGACTTCTCTCACCAATGCAGACTGAGCAGATCTCCTTGAACAATTGCAGAATATCTTTGTGTTTTGTCAGTCCTAGAGCTTGAACTCAGGGGTGGGTACTGTCCTTGAGCTTTTATGCTCAAAGCTAGTACTCTACCACTTTGAGCCACAACTCCACTTTGGGTTTTTAGGTGGTTAGTTGGAGATGAGTCTCAGGGCCTTTCTTGTCCAGGCTGGCTTTGAATTGCAATCCTCAGATCTCAGCCTCCTGAGTAACTAGAATTACAGACATAAGCCATCATTGCTGGGCTCATCTGCTGAAAATCTAAGATGAACTCTTGTTTGCCCAGGGAGAGCAGTCCTTGCTAAGTTAGCATCAAAGGCCAAGGTGAATTGTTTAGCATCACCATCTTTTTGAATCATCATGTTTTTTAAACTGTATTTTTCTTTTATCTTTTCTGTTTTTGGTACTAGGGGGAACCCAGTATGTTGCACTTGCTAGGCAAACACTTTGCCACTGAGCTACATCCCAGCCCCAGTATCACCATTTTAATGATTTGCAGATGAGCTTGGGCTCTTAGAATTTACAGAGGAATATCCTTTCTTCACATTGTTTTCCTGCTAAGGGCTGGGTTTGCTGAGTGGACTCAGTGAGCTCTGTGATCACTCGGCCTTTATATTTCCAAATATACATGACTTCTCTACTCTTGCACATTACTGAGATATGTGTGCACATAAAAACAAAAGCTATATATTTTCCCCCTGCATTTCCACACTTTGGATCCCCTCCAGGCACCATTCTGAATACAACACCCTGCTGCAGGGTATTAAAAATGGTTCTTTCCTCAAAATAAAACCTTTAAAGATCCCTTAGCAGCTATTCAGGGACTGGAATTCAATTTCAATTCTCCACCCTTTGGCCAGCTGTAGATTCAAAGTGCTTACATAAATAACGAAAGAGTATGTACTTCACAGAAAATCTGATTTTTCTTTTGCAATAGAAATATGTGCCATGGTTACCCCAAACTGTATTTTTACTTAGAAGATACACAAAGCAATAAAGCACCTCAATGAGAACAGATCTTTTTTAAATTTTATTTTATAGATTGATTTGATATAAGCTTCAGGTAGACACACTAACAGCATGTGAACTCTACACCTTCAAATCATAATACTCTATTTTAGGCTATTATATCTAAAAGCATGACTTCAGAAATTCTTTTATTACAAGTAGTTCTTGCACATGAATGTTATATTACAATAGCAAAAAATGTGTAAACTTCGTTAGCAGACTACATAAATATTAACTGCCTTGAAGTTATTATTTGAAATCAGAATATATGCTAAATGTTTTACATAAAAACTTCAGTCAGTAGCCTATGTCCATGAAATACTATTTTTCATTTCTTACTCATTTGCCTTTCAAGTTGCTTATCTAGGTCTTTGAAGGAGAAAAATTCAAATGACCTAGTTCAAAATTCAATCCACAAGACAAGTATGAAATACATTGAGAACCTTGGGCAAACCTTGAGATGTGAAATATTTCCACATAAAAAAGCCAACAAGCTACCAGTGGTGTGGAGCTAGATGAAATTAAGCACTCATATTTGATCTTATATAGAAAGAATTCACCCTGCTTATCAATACATTCTATTTTGCTATTAAAATGTCTGCTTAAAACAATATTTCTTTAGCTTTTTTTTCATTTTTATGTAGCTCACACCAGGTCATTTCTATAGCTTTTGTTCTAGACTGGAGAGTTTGGATGGCAGTGATCTATCTCACCATCTCTATCCTTGGAGTCTTGAATTGCAAAGTTCGAATCTAAGTAGATGTGCTTATACACATACACACCTGTTTAAGAAGATCATGTCATCAAATGAGGTTCTAAGTCTCCATTATTTTTGTTATTATTTTTAAGTAAACATGCTTTCTCAAAATGCTCCCTAGAAAAATCAGGTTTATTATGGAATCCTTAGTAATTTGTTATTCTTAGATTCCTACTGAATACCTAGCTACTTGCCATGGTTTTCATGAGGAAAAAAATACTTAGTAATTATTCAGTAGAAGAATACTACTGCTGAAATATTTCTGAATCTTTTAGATGTGTGAAGAAAAAAACTACATAGGTTTTCCTAGCAGCTACATAAAGTGGCTCAAGTAGCATCATTTATTATTCAGTTTGGCTTACGACCTTTGACATCTTTTGAAACACAAAAAACAAATCGCTACAAGATGGCAGCAGAGCCTGGCGTACCCAGCTGGCTGGTGATGCTCTGAGAAGTTTGTAGGAAACTGAGCAGCAATCCATTCACTGTATTGTCTCCATCTTTCTCTGCATTTTCACTGAATGTACTATCTTCTCTTCACTGCCCAGGCTTTTAAACTTGTAAAACAACAACAAAACTGTAAAACCTAGCAGTGATTCATTCCGATCTCAAATAACACTGTACATGGGCATTTGGTAGAGATAGGTAATGATTTTTAACAGCTCTTTCCCCAGGGGATGCCTGGGTAGGCAATGGGAGAGGTATCTACAGCTTAGGAGCTGTTTGTATTGCAGATGGTGGCTTGGCTAATACTATCTTCCATATACTGGCTGCCTGTGTCACTCCTGCTGAGGACGGTGGAAGGGATACGAGAGGGGCGTCTTTCTGTGCTGTTCTCCTGAGTGAAGCAACAGATCATTTTCTTCATGGTGCTGTACATATCCTCATCCTTGTAGGAGTAAATGATGGGGTTCATGACTGAGTTGAGCAGCGCCAGCAGCAGGAACCAGCGTTTCACATGCTGCACGCCACACTGCGTGCAGTTCAGGCCATCCAGGAGCAAAACTACCAGACCTGGGGTCCAGCACACCACGAATGCACCTGGAGGAAGACAAGAGGAGGCAACAGGTGCTTAATCAGGTGTTCCTTCCCCACCTGAGTCAGAGGTATCAAGGAGCCAAAGGATTTGTTTTGTGGGCTGAAAAGCAAGTTTCTATCTATCAGAGTGTTTGAGACGCAGGCTTGTGAGAAGCAAACAGCTGAGGATCTCCTTGACTTCCTGCCATGTTCCACTCACTGGCTTATCTATTTACCCATTAAGAGCTTGCATTTATCTCCTGCTTATGAAACACGATGCAATCTCTGGCAGTTTTCCAAACCACAAGGCTGCTTCAGTCATTACCCACCTTTGACAGATGAGGAAACGAAGGTCCCTCTCCAAGGTAATGTACTCAGAAACTTCTCTGACTCCAGGACTCACCTACTCCCAGTTTACACTCTTTGGTTCTCTACATCAGACTTTCTAAATGCTTCCTTTAAAATCTAGAATGATTAATTCAGACCTCAAATAGCCCTGCACAAGTATTGATTTGAGACAGGTAATGAGACAGCTATCGGAGACAGGTAACGATTGTGGCTAAGTCACTTGTTCAAAAATTTCATCCTTCATAAATTCATATTGATGCTCAGTAAGCACTATATCTTTTAGACATATTCACAGGCCATTTGCTTAATCACCTGCTCTAGAGATAGATTTTTTTGTCACAAATAAATCTTTCATGGTGAAATCATTAGAAATGTGCTTCCTGGACTGCAATGGAACATGAACAGTTGTTTCTAGCCATTGGATTACGCTTACCTTAGAAGCTTCCTGATGTTTTTCTTGTAAAATATGAGATGTAAGTTCGATATTCTGCTATTTCGTTATTATAATCTCAGATACCAGTAATAGCTAACCTTTCTTCTGTGCTATGAGTCAGACATTGATGTAAATACTTTCCTTGACAATACTGTGAGATCAGCAATAATTATTATAACCCCAGAAAATGGAGACACTTGACCAAATAGCCTTTCTTTTTTCTGAGCTGCTCTTGGAGCTGGAACTCAAGGCCTGGGCAATGATTCTGAGCATTTTTGCTCAAGGTTTAGTGCTTTACAACTTGAGCCACAGTTCCAATCTGGGTTTGGGGGGAAGTGGTTAATTGGAAATAAGAGTCTCATGGACTTTCCTGCCCAGATTGGCTACAAAATGCAATCCTCAGATCTTAGCCTCCTGAGTAGCTAGGATTACAGACATGAGTCTCTAGTACCTGGCTGATCAAAAAGCTTTAAAGGAACATTTAATTTTGAATACAGACAGTCTTTCTTCATAGGCTGGGTTCTTGGTCACTACGTGATGCACAGCCTTAATGTGATGTGGTTGCTTTAATTTCAGTGTCCTTAGAGTGGACTTGCTTATCCATTCAAAACATATTCATCTCAAGCTTGCAATGTGCATGGGAGTAGGTGAAGATCATATTCTTGGAGCACTAAAAGCTAACATAAGAAACAGAATAAACAAACCTATAAAACTATAATTCTGATGAGAGTTATTCCTGGATAATATTGTTCTTTCTGCTTTATCCTTCTCAGAGACATAATACCAAGCAAGACAAGTAAAGAATGAGAAAGCAGTGTAAGCTTGGGAGGCACCATGAGCATTGGTCACATGAGCATACCCCGCTTCTTAGGAATACCAAACTAAGCAAATGACATCACTTCTCTGAGTCTCCTTTCACTTCCTATATAAAGTCCGGATAATAAGCCTGACTATAGAGGATGGATGTGTGGATATGAGGATCAAAGGCAATGGGAAAGAGAACCCAATATCCTGTTGGCTCTAACAGACATTGGAATCAGGAGATATTTTTGTTTCTTCAAAATTCAATGTCTAGGAGCTAGTAGAGAACTTTAATTCTCTACTTGGTAGTTACAGCTCTATTTGTTTTCACCATGCTGCCCTGTTTTTGTGTTAACATGTGGTAGGGAACTGGAAAGCAGAGGTTGGGATTGTGTTTACTTACTGTACAACTCTGGGACAGCCATGTTGTGGCCTAGGGTTTGGTCCTCAATTGATGACTTTAGGCTAGATTTGGACTTCTTAAACTTCAGGTCATAATGCCTTAGCAGATATGCAATAAATTTAGTGGATTCATAAACATAGTGGAGCTGTTGTTATTTCATTTCCTTTTTTTAAACAAAAGAATAAATGAGGATAGAATAGCTCATTGCACATTACAAAGGGCTAAAGAATTTGTTTCATTAGTTTGATTTTGATTTTATATCATTTATATGTGCATTCGTTATGAAACAAAGTATATTTCCTATTGTTGGCCTTGATCAAAACTTTGAAAAATAACAATTTTTAGACATTCTTTGAGGCCCCAACTAGCACCAATGATATGTATTTCTCATAGAGGTGGAACTTTTATTCTCTCTGTTATGCTCTGAAGAGAGTCATTATATTGTCAAGAGAAAACTATACAAGCCAGACTTAAAAAAGAAAAATAAAAAACTTTGATAACTTCTATAAAAATTGTATAATTACAAAGAAATCCCACTAGAAGTATTCCAAGGTCCTTGTATTAATAGAAAGAAAAGTAATTTATTAATATTTGTTAAATATACACCAAAATTTATAACTTCAAACCAATAGAAGGTGACAAGTAGAATTAAAAGAAAGGAAAAAAGTCTCAAAAGAAAATAAAGAAGTAAAGAAAAAGTGAATCATTGAAAAATAGGAAGAACAAAGTAAGATGTTGGAAATAAATCCAGATATTACAATAACAAAAATCAAACAAAAACTGTAATATATATTTTAAAAATAACAAAAATCAAACAAAAACTGTGATATATATTTTAAGTAATTTAAATCCACCTAATATTATACCCATATGTGGTAAAACAATGAGAAAAGGCAAGAAGAGGCTTAACATAGAATTTATGATATGATTATCTCTTTAGAAGACAGCCACTGGGGACCATGAAGTTCTAATTTTCTTCAAAGAACATGTTAAACACATATCCTGCACACTTTATCACCCTGACAAAGCCAAGATACCAACTTGGGCATCCAGTCATGGCCTGTGCACTCTGCCTACATGCTAAGCTGCTCAATGGTGGTCCAAAATGAGTGAAATTAAAATGAGTGAAAAGAGGATTACTTCTGGACTTTAAAGTTCCTTTTGTAGTGTCTCATATCTGTCTATAGACATCACATATATCACAACTAAGTCTTTCTTTGGCTTGTTCACCAAACAACGAAAGCAAATCTTCTTTGACAGAACATCTCAAACCCCCTAGACTGCTGTTTAGCAGAGAACAGAGTCTCAGAGAACAATGCTTTGAGCTGACTATCATACACCTCAGCAGTTACCCTGGGAAACATAACCACCAAGACTCCTCCACCTGGAAGCCAAGTTCTTAATCCAAACATATCTTAGAAGGGAGGCAGTCTGTCTACCAGTTCAGTAGAATATTTTACTATGTACCAGTAGCTAGTTAGGAAGCCTGAAAGAGTTAGAAAAAGATAATATGTCAGGAATGGTTCTGGCCTTGGGGATTATAATCTTGGAAATTTCAGAGAGAAGTGGGAGAAATCAGAAACATACAAAGGGTAATCTGTACTAATAATTACAAGGTGTGTGTGCGTGTGTGTGTGTGTGTGTGTGTGTGTGTGTGTGTGTGTGAAATCAGTTTATCCTCTACCAGTCTAGAAGGAGGAATGAAAAGGAATGTTTTTTGTATATTTTGCCTCCATGTTCAGACTATTACTGCTGGGAACCAGCAAGGTTCAAAGAAGTCATGGCAAGCTGAAATCACCAAGAAAAAAAATTGAGCATTAACAAATTGGAAAGGGTTCATACAGCCTATCTGGAAACTAGTAGAAGAAATGATATATGTTTCTCATGAAGAAGAAAAGACTAAGGAAAGACAGGATGTATTAACTTGACAGGATTAGTCAGGTGACCTAGTCACTCTAAACAACCTCTAAAATTGTTTTTCTATTCTCCATAATGTGCCAATTAACATATTGCCTGAAAGGCAGTTGCACAAAGAATGGAACACCTATCCTGAGCCATTCGCAAAGGCCACATGGAACAAATGAAGAAGTATCAAGTGGTAGAATTTAGATTTAAGACTTCAAGTAAATGGAGAAATTTAAGAGGAATGTGTTTTACAGCTGGCAAAGAACCCTCCTTGACCAGAGTATTTCTTTTTGTCTTTAACTAATAAATTGTTAGTTTATATCAGTTATATATTTCCATACACTTACAATATATTTCAATCAATCTCACCCCTTTTATCATTCTCCTTTACCCATTCTTACCTTCCCCAAAACAGTTTCAAAGGGTTTTATTGTTCTAGTCTCATAGTTGCAAGCAATCTGTTTTGACTATTTTCATCCTTCTGATTAGCCCAACCCCTTACATTAGTTAACCCCCCACAACCCCCCACTCCCCGTCGTCCTCCTCAGAGACTATTTCTCTTTCCCCACAATTCAATTCCTCTATTGACTGACAGCTTTCACCAAGGTATTTCTTTCACTTGGACCATCCTAAGATTCACAAAGGGAAGTTATCTTTTGCTAAAGGAAAGAAAGATAGGTTGAGTATCTTCTGAACTCTATTCCAAGTATAAAATTGCTAAGTTCTAGAAAACTATGAGTTTCAACTCCCCATCAAATTCAAGTACATTTGACTTGCTTCCCAGACACACAATTGTTAAGAAGGTATGGCTAAAAACTGATCAAGACATGTTCTCTGTTGGTGGCTCTCCAAGTTAGCTTGCCAACTGAATTGCCAAGGGAGCTGTTTAATAATGCAGATTCTCCTCTGGCATCAGCTCAGGATCAGCGTCTCTGGAAATGCAGAGTACTAGAAGATTCCCTGGGTGATCATAATGCATGGCCAGTGAAGAGATAAACCATATTTCTATGCTGACCCAGTACAGTTTAATCAAGTTGACTCTAACAGTAAAATTGAGGTTCCATATAGACTTAGCAAAAAACAAACCATGGAAAAGAAAGAAGAGACAGAATTCTTTGAAACAAGAAAACAAGT